AAACTCTGTCAGCAGAACTCTTCGCATACTTTGCGTCATTATATAATGGAATGTGAAAAAATCGCGGAATTTAGAGATAACACCATCAATAGTGTCCAAGAAATGTGTAAGTACTTCATTCATAATGATGTGCTGCCCGAAATCATAGTGAAGTAGCCTAAATTTGCTTACTGTAGGTGATGCATGCACATGACTGTAAAGCTGCCGCCCAGTTGGGTGGGTGTGGAGCAAGACTAGTAACTGTGTGACTCACCATAGATGTAAAGTGCCTTGTATAGTGACTGTTGTGAGCCTCTTGTTGAATCACTTGTGACACAAAAGATTATTGATGTGTGGATGATTAAATATGTATGTGTATGTATATATGTATACGTATATATATGTACATGTATATATAACATTAATAATTTTGTAACTAGCGTCAAAAGATTGTTATTTGCTTAGCTAAACGAACTAGAGGGTTCAGTTCCTGAACCGATTATGTGCCTCTGTAATCCTTTACACCACCGCCCACGGATGGGTATGGGGTGCATAATAAAGAAAGAAATCAGCAATCACAGATAGGGATCCCAAGTTCAAGTTCAAGTTAGTTTGTTGAGAAAAATATTGTATATCTCAAAAGGATAGAGTAGCTTAGGCTATTTCTACCCTCGTCTGTATAAGGTAACTCAAGGCGCTCATAAATCCATGCAGTACACATTTATTAATAATATATTACATATCAACTGGCATACTGTGAGATCTCTAATTTATTAGATTAATGAGAAGTGGGAAGTAATAAACAATGTATGATTTTTGCCGATGATACAAAAACTCGGTAGGGAAATTAACACGGAAAAAGACTCACTATCACTACAAGCTGATCTAAATAGGGTTTTGAAATGGTCAAAAGATTGGCAGATGCTGATAAATGTAGTTTTGAGGCTGGGTAATGATGATAGAGTTACAAGATACGAGCTAGATGGTGTTGAGATTGCGAAGTCGGATTGCGAAAGGGATCTGGGAGTTATGATTAGTAAGAATTTAAAACCAAAGGATCAATGCATAAATGTTCGTAATAAGGCAAATAGGACACTGGGATTTATTAATCGAAGCGTTAGTAACAAGACACCTGGTGTTGTTCTTAAGCTATATCTTGCTCTGGTTAGGCCCCATTTAGATTATGCAGTTCAGTTTTGGTCGCCGTACTATAGAATGGATATAAATTCACTTGAACGTGTCCAGCGTAGGATGACAAAGTTAATTTCCCAAATTAGAAATCTTTCATATGAACATATGAAAAAAGATTAACAAAGCTTAAATTGCATTCACTGAAGAGGCAAAGAGTAAGGAATGACATGATAGAGGTTTACAAGTGGATGAATGGACATAACAAGGGGGATATTAATAGGGTATTAAAAGTTTCAACACAAGACAGAAAACGAAACAATGGGTATAAATTGGATAAGTTTAGATTTAGGAAAGACTTGGATAAATACTAGTTCGGTAACAGGGTTGTTGATTTGTGGAACCAATTACCGCGTAACGTGGTGGAGGTGGGGGTCCCTTGATTGTTTCAAACGTGGGTTGGACATGTATATGAGTGGGATTGGGTGGTTATAAATAGGAACTGCATCGTATGTGCCGATAGGCCTTCTGCAGTTACCTTGTTCATATGTTAGGTTCTGTTGGCAATGGTTCGTATTTGCAGTACGTGGGTGAAGCATTTACAGTTTTATGGTTCGAACAAAAGTCGTCAGCGAGGCACTGTTCGAGAAGTGTCCGAACTACATCAGTTGTGAGTCGTGTGTGTGTGTAAACAGTTTTGAATTCGTAAACAGGGGGGTTTGGCGGGTGCATGGAATCACTTTGGGTCTTTGTTTATGAGGACGGGCAGTGGAAGAACATAACCCGAGGACAGGTTGATGCTTTGATGACGGACTGCTATACTGGCGTGCCCTTTGAACATAGACTGTGAACGAAGCACTATTCGAGAAAGGTTGATGAGCAATCAGTTTTAGGCCATATGTAAAGTGTTTTTCATTATTAAACCGGGCGGATTATGCTGGATTAACGAGCATTTGGCCAGTGTGTTGATGGGTTCAGGTAAAACATTCAGAGAGGGTGAGCGCTGATTACATGATGTAAACAAAGCCCTCTTCGAGCAAGACTCGAACTCTCTCAGTTGTGAGGTATGTTAAGAAGCTTTAGCCAATGTTTACAGGAGCAGTTTGAGTACCAGATGAAGTGAAGAACTGGTGCTCTGTCATCCGGCTTGTCCCGTCCCTCTTTCCTTACGCTATCCGACCGTTCGGTTAAGAAATTTTACACCTTCCGGCCGGCCAGGGTAGCCTCACACGAGACGTTGGTCGAGACAGGTAAGGTCCGTCTAACTGAACTAAGTGCAGTGCTTTGTTTAGTTTTATCATGCCATATATGAGTATCATGGTTTGCGTGTGTAGAACTGTCGCTATTTGCGTGGGAAGTATAGCTGAATGTCGCTGCTTGCGTGTGAAAAGTATATTAACGTTGATGTTTGCGTGTGAAGTATATATGAACTTCGCTGTTTGCGTGTGATATATATAGCTGAACTTCGTTGTTTGCGTGGGATATATATAGCTGAACTTCGCTGTTTGCGTGTGAAACGGTTTGAGCTCTATTAAAGATTTGCGTAAACACAACACAGATTTACTTGAGCAATAAATCAGCGTTGTGATATCGATTTTCAATGTTTATTGCCAGGCAATGCATGTAGGATTGTGTATATTTATTCATATACATCCACAAAATATATATATATATAAAATATAAATCTATTATAAACAATCTCGTGATATAAAACTATATAATAGCAATCTGATTTTTGTGTAAAAACCTCCGCTTGGCAACCAGCTTGGGGACGTCACAAGTTTCTCAGAGCTTTGCCAAGCTCGACCAATCACGGAAGCGTTCTCGAAAACAAAACTAAAATTTGCATTTTAATTGGATCGAGTTCAACGTTAGTGGGTGTTATAGATGTCTCGCCTTATCTTAGCCAATCACCGTCGTTGATTTTGAGGGAGGGGGTTGGGAGGGGTTTCCTTACTGATTTTATCTTATTGTTTAGTTTCTTGTGGACGTATTTTTTCAAATAAAAACAGTTTTTTTTTAAACATAAAATATTGTTATTATATATTAGCATATTGTGGTTATGTTAGGCGTTCAGTATCTGTCGGTAATTATTTGGATTTGTTGTATACGTGAATGAAGCGATTACAGAGTTGTGATTCGAACAAGAGGTCGTTAGAGAGGCTTTGTTAATAATGGGGGTTTGGCAGGTTGATGATATGAACATTTGACCTTTGTTGATGAGGACGGGCTGCATTTTTTACCCAAAAACGTCCGGTTTTTGACCGAACCATTCAGTTACAGCCTTGCTGATAAGCTTCATAAGTCATGGACTTAATCGATTCGTTCAAATAATTTAATGTAACCTTTCGTCGACATTTGATTAATTACTCCAAATGTTTTAATTTTTCAAGTGATTAAATTTTTATTTTTGTTATTTTAAGGCGATCACTTTTTTTTTAAGCTGATTCAAAAGTGCTTTGACCTCTTGACACAAGGTCATACGAAATGTGCAGAACTAATCAGCTCCTCAAACAAGGTGCTGGAAAGCGCCTTCCAATACAAGCGAAAACTTGAACGAGGTGATTTATGTAGTTAACCGGTTGTTAGGGTGTCATCAGATAGGCATTACGGTAACGTCAAGGCTTATCGTAGTAATGAGAGAGTTATTCCAACAAGACCTGCAATTACTGTCACTCAATAACGCTGAGAACTTTATTCAGCCGTAACCACTGTGGATAATTAGGGATTCGCTTCCGTTTTTTCCCCTGAGTCGCTCATAAAGAGTGACGACGACGACGTTTCGGTCCGTCCGAAACGTCGGACCATTCCCAAGTCGTCGACCGTTCTCACAATCGACTTGAGAATGGTCCAGGACGGACCGAAACGTCGTCGTCCCTTCATTTTCTAGTGTGTGGATTGGTCAACATGCTTCAGCCACGTTATTGTGACTCATCACCTGCGTAAAGACGTGCGTCTTCTACATTGCTTCGTGACGCAAGACTTCTGCGTACGCAAATTGTCTAAGCATAAAGGTACAACATATTCTGGAATTGTAAGGTGGGTACCAAACGACCCAATATATAATTTAGGCCGTGTACGTATTGGAACCATATAACTATGTCAAACTCCTCATTGGAGTCAGAGTGTTTTCAAACTAATTGCTTCGCATTTCTTCATAAATTTTAGTGAGAAGTTTTTTTTACAAACCTCTGATTCCTATCTCAGCATCAGACTGGCTTCAAGAAATTATTGGCTCCTTTTTCCTTGGCCCTCTTCCTTGGCCCTCTTTCTTGGCCCTCTTTCTTGGCCCTCTTCCTTGGCCCTCTTCCTTGGCCCTCTTCCTTGTGCCTCTTCCTTGGCCCTCTTCCTTGGCCCTCTTCCTTCCTCTCCTCGCGTCTTCCTCTCTCCCACCCACGCCACCACCACCTGAAATCCCTTCCTTGGTCTGAACATTCGTATAACTATTAAAGACTTGGTCATATATCTGTGTAAATGTTTACACACCTGTGTAAAGCTTTCTATTGCATCATCAGAGCTCATTATACGCATGTAGAGCTCCTTGCAGAGCTCTATACACACCTGCAGAGCTCTATGCACACCTGCAGAGCTCTCGGTACACCTGCAGAGCTCTATACACACCTGCAGAGCTCTCTGCACACCTGCAAGTTGTAACGGCTAGTTATAATTAAGAAAGGCAGCATTTATTGAGCTGTATTTATCATGCAAACTACAATATTAACGGTGTACTGCATCGTGAATTTAATAAATAAATTATGTAAGACCTATGAGGAAGGAATGTTGATGTGGTAGTGTATTCTCCGGTCTCGCTATTGTATTCTCCGGTCTCCCTATTGTATTCTCCGGTCTCGTTATTGTATTCTTCGGTCTCGCTATTGTATTCTCCGGTCTCGCTATTGTATTCTTCGGTCTCGCATTGTATTCTTCGGTCTCGCTATTGTATTCTCCGGTCTCGCTCTTGTATTCTCCGGTCTCGCTATTGTATTCTCCGGTCTCGCTATTGTATTCTCCGGTCTCGCTATTGTATTCTTCGGTCTCGCATTGTATTCTCCGGTCTCGCTCTTGTATTCTCCGGTCTCGCTATTGTATTCTCCGGTCTCGCTATTGTATTCTCCGGTCTCGCTATTGTATTCTCCGGTCTCGCTCTTGTATTCTCCGGTCTCGCTCTTGTATTCTCCGGTCTCGCTCTTGTATTCTCCGGTCTCGCTCTTGTATTCTCCCGTCTCGCTCTTGTATTCTCCGGTCTCGCTCTTGTATTCTCCGGTCTCGCTCTTGTATTCTCCGGTCTCGCTCTTGTATTCTCCGGTCTCGCTCTTGTATTCTCCGGTCTCGCTCTTGTATTCTCCCGTCTCGCTCTTGTATTCTCCGGTCTCGCTATTGTATTCTCCGGTCTCGCTCTTGTATTCTCCCGTCTCGCTCTTGTATTCTCCGGTCTCGCTATTGTATTCTCCGGTCTCGCTATTGTATTCTCCGGTCTCGCTATTGTATTCTTCGGTCTCGCATTGTATTCTCCGGTCTCGCTCTTGTATTCTCCGGTCTCGCTATTGTATTCTCCGGTCTCGCTATTGTATTCTCCGGTCTCGCTATTGTATTCTCCGGTCTCGCTCTTGTATTCTCCGGTCTCGCTCTTGTATTCTCCGGTCTCGCTCTTGTATTCTCCGGTCTCGCTATTGTATTCTCCGGTCTCGCTATTGTATTTTTATTTCTTTTGACAATGCTTCATCATTATTTTTCTTTCAGTTTTTAAATTGCTTTAACCATAATACAGAGGACGGAAGATTCAGAATAAGGAAATAAGAAACAGCGAGACAGCAGAGAGAGAGAGAGAGATAGCAACGCAGAGACAGAGAGATATGAAAAGGCACAGACGTAGAGATAGCGTGAAAGCGATATAAAAGAGACAGATAGCCAGAGACAACAAAATATCGAAAGGATAACAGGAGCTTCAACAATGAATTATATCGTGCCAGAATGCACTTAAGTGCCTCCCAGTAAGGCTCGGCCGAGATTGTGACGCGGACCCTTACACTCGGACCACTCTCCCCGCCCCCCCACTTGTGAGGTGGGGGGGGGGTAGATAAGTGGATGATTGTTGACGCAATAACGCAAATGGTGAGAATATTTGATTGTTTTGCGGACTGCAGACTTCTGCTGCTTTACCAGGCGAGTGCATTCTTTAGTCTTTTGAATTATGCATTATTCGCAATGGTTGTGGTATATATATATATACCAGTGCCACAGTGGTATATATATACCAGTGCCACAGTGGTATATATATACCACTGCCACAGTGGTATATATATATACCAGTGCCACAACCATCTACCACTGTCATTCCGAACCTGTGGAACAATAACGACAATGTATAAGGAACCATCGGCTACCACCTTGATAACGGCTACCACAACACCCCTCGCTACCATACGCCCGCGAGCGTTGCCACCGCCACATCTACCACCATTTTAAAACCACAACCACCATCACCAGCACTACATCATCAACGCCACTACCAGCATCACCGCCAACACCACAACCAAAACCGCCAAAAGATAGGGCATAGAAAAGGCACTACGGGCTCACCATAGCCCGTGCTACTTGGAACTTTGTTCCAGGTAGCGAATCTTTAACAACAACAACAAACTCAAAAGATATAATCACCAATCACTACCTCCCCCCCCCTCACCCCCTAACAAACATGATACACCCCCCACCTTGTAATTCAACCCCCACCCCCCATAAACCCCTCCCTTAACCCCCCCCCCCCCTCCCCCCCATCGTCAGTGAGGCGTGTGCTAGGCTTGGTTAACTAATATTTGCGCTTTTCATTAGGTCGTCACCAAAGCAGTCTGCCATTATTTCTCGTGTTTGCTGCCTCAATTATTCACCTTCGAGTCTTACCTGCTCCAGAGAAATTTCAAGATGGCATTCCTGGTGCGGCCGGTTGCTTCCTTGTCAAGAGGAGGAGAAGCAGGGGGAAGTGGGGGAGGAAGCGTTGGTGTGGAGAGAGAGAGAGGGTGTGGAAGAGAGTTGATGGTGTTGGAAGCCTCATCATTCGAGGAACGCCATCGTCGGAAGAACGTAAAAGTTCTCGTGTCAACATCTGTATGTGTTTGGCTGAGGTGTTCTGCACGGTTATAACATTAACGTAACGGCGCTCAACAAGCCTTCAGGGGGCTGGTCCGAAACACGTGAGCATCGTGACGACATCAGTGTTTAGGTAATCTTTAGTGTTATAGAGAAATGTTTGGGTGTTGAAAGACTGCCTGAGGGTTGGAGAAGTGTCAGAGGGCAGAGAGGGCGCTTGAGTGAGTGTTGGAGGAGCGTCAGAGGACAAGGGGCACTTGAGTGAGTGTTGGAGGAGCGTCAGAGGACAAGGGGCTCTTGAGTGAATGTTGGAAGAGCGTCAGAGGGCAAGGGGCGCTTGAGTGAGTGTTGAGAGAGTGTCAGAGGGCAGAGAGGGCGCTTGAGTGAGTGTTGGAGGAGCGTCAGAGGACAAGGGGCGATTGAGTGAGTGTTTGGAGAGTGTCAAAGGGCAGAGAGGGCGCTTGAGTGAGTGTTGGAAGAGCGTCAGAGGGCAAGGGGCGCTTGAGTGAGTGTTGGAGGAGCGTCAGAGGACAAGGGGCGCTTGAGTGAGTGTTGGAGGAGCGTCAGAGGACAAGGGGCGCTTGAGCGAGTGTTGGAGATACATGTAAACATCGTGTTTAAGGAGACCTTCCCAACCTCTCGCGGCGTCAACACTTCGATATTAATTGTATTTGTTTTATACGTACGAAACATTGTTAGTGACAAGTCTATTGTTAATGATGAGTTCTGTTTGGCCGGCGTGTATGAATACTCTGTTTTGTGAGATTGATGTATGCTTGTATGACTGTTGTTTTCTTTAGGATTGGTGTATGGTTGTGAAATTGCTGTTTTTGTTTGTGGGATTGGTGTATGATTGGTATGGTGTCATGGTAGAGTGAAAACAAATGAGGAAATGTTTACAATGTCTAACCGTGGGAGCTGTACCCTGGGAGCTGTACCTTGGGAGCTGTACTCTGGGAGCTGTACCCTGGGAGCTGTACCCTGGGAGCTGTACCGTAGGAGCTGTACCCTGGGAGCTGTACCCTGGGAACTGTACCCTGGGAGCTGTACCCTGGGAGCTATACCCCTGGGAGCTGTACCCTGGGAGCTATCATAACCCCCCTGAACTATCCATCATTCTGATGACGGGATTATTTTAATCAGAGGGAACATGGGCGGGACATATATATATATACAAAGGACATACAATACATTTAGTGGAAGAATGTAATTGTATTTTTAGCTCAACAATAGCTCTCATGTTCAGTCAAGACTTGGGGAACACCTGGCCAGGGAGTTTGTGTGGAGTTTGCAACGTTGCAGCCGGCACTGCACGCATATATGTAGACGACACACACACACACACACACACACACACACACACACACACACACACACACACACACACACACGACGAAGACTCCAATATTCACCAACCATCAATGCCACAGACTTTTGAGACGAGAAAACGTCAATTAAGCATCAATACCGAATTGAATTATCGATAAATATCATAAGATGGCAAAAGAAAGACATCTCTCTCCTGGTAGCTGTCTACACATATTCCATTCCCTTCAACCCCCTAACCCTACCCCCCCCCCCCATCTTGCAAGGTTGCAATAGTGGCTGGTTGGTGGTCTCAACACTGTAAACCAGATATAACAGTCTTCTACAAGGTATAATACACAATCATGGAATAACTGGCGGGAACATGATTACACATTGAAGGATTTGAACTACAGGATGAGTGGCCCGATTTATGCTCAACAAAATACAAATTATAATGAGTTAATGAACAAAATAATGAGTTAATGAACAAAATAATGAGTTATATGAGTGGGATTGGGGGGGGTTATATATAGGAGCTACCTCGTATGGGCCAATAGGCCTTCTGCAGTTGCCTTTGTTCTTATGTTCTTATGTTAATAAGTCAACTTTCCATCACCAGCCGTTCCCCATCACTAGTCTCACCACTCATCCATCCTTCTCATCACCAGATTCATCCAATCCTTTCCTTACCACCCCCCCACCCCCTTTTCCTCATCCCCCTCACTCACTCACTCTCATGCCTCATTCTTGACAAATCTGGCATGAGAAATTGCCCATTTAGCTGTGAGTGAGAAACAGACCCGACTCATTCATCACCACCAGCGGTAACCCATTACATCTCCCTCCCTCACCCTCAACCCCCCCTTACCCATCTCCTCCCTTTCCCATTACCCATCCCCTACCTTTCCTCCCCCCCCCCCCACCCCCTACCTCTTCCCCCTCAATGGGGCAACATTGTTTACACCCAAATTTTAATTCCATTGACAGGTGAGTTTTGTTTGTCTCATTATAAATCCGCCTCGCGTATGTTTCATTGTTTATTAATTTATTGTTATTGTTACCATGAGTAGTTAGTAGCTAGTTAGTTACCTGTTGTTAGCAGGTAACTCATTTTGTATCATTGAGAGTTTATGTAGATTATCAAGTTATGTTTTTGTTACTGCTTTCTCGAGTAATAATTTCTTTGTTTGCGTCACCTTAATATATTTTTTGTTAACGTCTTATTCATCTGCTTGAGTTGCCGTGTTCCACGTCAGAATAGACGTAAATACACATACACGAACGTATGCCTAGAAGGATAAATTTAATCCCGGGATTTAGAAAACTTATTTTGTTTAAAGAAATTGAAAAAAAAATGGTCATTTTTCCGTTCCTCTTGATAGGCGGAGAGTTAGGATGGGATATTACCTAAGTGTAGTTACAGGATGAGAGCTACGCTCGTGGTGTCCCGTCTTCCTAGCACTCTTTGTCATATAACGCTTTGAAACTACTGACGGTCTTGGCCTCCACCACCTTCTCACCTAACTTGTTCCAACCGTCTACCACTCTGTTTGCGAAAGTGAATTTTCTTATATTTCTTCGGCATCTGTGTTTAGCTAGTTTAAATCTATGACCTATTGCTTTTAAAGTTCGTGTGTGGCCTGACTAAAGTGGATATCGTGGATAACAGGGGTATGTTATAGGAGGATATACGATTAAGGTTTGATCATTTAACTATACAAAATAGAACATGAAAAAGTGGATATTCATTGGATAATATTAGGTTCAGGAAATCAATTGGGGAAATACTTGCTTGGAAATAGGTTGATTTATTGAAGAATTTAGTGGTGACGAGGCAGATGTATGCTCGTTGTATGGCTTCATGTATAATACATATACATGTGTATATATATATGTAATGTTTGGGTGGATGTATATGGACGCTGCCTCCTATAAGCCAATAGGCTTTCTGAAGTTCTCATTATCCATTCGTATGTTCTTATTGTTCTTTGGTGAGTTATTTATTAATTTTTTTACTGTAAAACTAGAGCAGACTGCAGTCAAAGCTTGTTTGTCTGCAGACTGTAAAACTAGAATTTACAGTCTGCTTCTTAACAACTGTTTACAAATTAATTAACTTTAATAGTATATATATATATATATATATATATATATATATATATATATATATATATATATATATTGCTGAAGCAGACGTTTATGTGGACAAGGGTTTATGAATATGATTATAGGACATATTTTTCATGTTCTTCACTTTGAAAACTAATGGAAAATATAGCTCCATATTTTTGTTTCCTTCTAAATCACTTGGCTAAAGTGCACTTTAGCATCCTCGGAGGAAAAGTGTAAACAAATGGACAAAGATATCAACATTCCATATGTGTAAAAGCCTAAGTGTAATTACCTAAGTGTAGTTACAGGATGAGAGCTACGCTCGTGGTGTCCCGTCTTCCCGGCACTCTTTGTCGTATAACGCTTTGTGTGTGTGTGTGTGTATGTGTGTGTGTGTGTGTGTGTGTGTGTGTGTGTGTGTGTGTGTGTGTGTGTGTGTGTGTAAAACACCTTGAGTTCTGCTCAGGCTTAAAATTTACACATTATAGCAAAGTTATCTCCAATAACTATGCTATGCGGCTCACCTGAGCATCGAAACACCTGTAATTAAAAATAATACAAAAACACGTGAATACATAAACACCTACAACAAAAGACAACAAAAACAAGAAAACCATCTTAATTAAAAAGTCGTATAATTAACCTGTCGAGTTAATTACAGAGTTCAGGGGTGGAGTTAAAGGCCAGGTATATATGTGTGTGTGTGTGTACCTTATGTAGGTCGTCTGTAGCCACATGTGACGCTGTACGTCACATGTGGGTGATTGTGTGTGTACGTCATATGTGGGTGATTGTGTGTGTACGTCATATGTGGGTGATTGTGTGTGTACGTCACATGTGGGTGATTGTGTGTACGTCATATGTGGGTGATTGCGTGTACGTCATATGTGGGTGATTGCGTGTACGTCATATGTGGGTGATTGCGTGTACGTCATATGTGGGTGATTGCGTGTACGTCATATGTGGGTGATTGCGTGTACGTCATATGTGGGTGATTGCGTGTACGTCATATGTGGGTGATTGCGTGTACGTCATATGTGGGTGATTGCGTGTACGTCATATGTGGGTGATTGCGTGTACGTCATATGTGGGTGATGGGTTGTACATCAGGCCATCCTATCAACCGCCCATCCACCCATCCATCCATCCAGTTATTACGCCAACCGGTAAACCAGAGAACTAGTTGAACACTAACAATAGACGTTTGTTAGTCGCTCGTGTCTGTCTCTCGCGGAGTGTTCGTTAGTTGGCTTGTGCTTTGTAATTGCTTCAATTGCTCTCATTTTGCTCATGGCTGCCATTTTTTTGTTTGTCGATGTGTCTGAAGTGTTTGTGTTGCCTGTGCTTGTTGATGTGTGTGTGTGTTGCGTGTGTCTTTGTTAGCTGCGTTTGAGTGCGTTTGGCATTTGTATTTGCCAATGTATTTGTTTTTTAATTTGCATGTGTGGGCAATTAGTGTATGAATTGGCCCATTTGTGCCTACAGGATCGAGAAGTTAGCTCTTGGACCCCGTCTTTCTAGTCTAATTTACTAATTCCAGATCTGTTTTCCTCTATCATATCTTCTATATAATTATCTCCTTAAACTCGCATATTTACATCCCCAAGATCCTGTCTAAGCAGCTGTCAAACTCCAAGGCGTCTATTGACTGTTAGGTGAACATCAGGTCAAAGAAGCTCTGCCCAATTGTTTTTGCTTCGTCCGGGAATCGAACCCCGGGTTCATGAGCTGGGAATCCCGAACGCTATCCGCTCAACCGCGAGGACCTTGAGCTATGTATGATCTATTTCTCTATCTGCTCATTTGATTTTCCGGTCGTATATAAAAGGAATGAAAAATAAATATTGGCAAATGGGAGAGAGAGAGAGAGAGAGAGAGAGAGAGAGAGAGAGAGAGAGAGAGAGAGAGAGAGAGAGAGAGAGAGAGAGAGAGAGGGAGTACATTGGATTACATTAATTACTTTCCCTGGCTGTGTTTACATTTTGACAACCCCCAATAAGCCTCCAGCTGCCTGGTGGATTACAGGAGGCTTCGTCCGGAAGCTCTATCAATTAGCCTCGGGACTTCTACCTTTTCTTACCTGTAATTTACCTGCGCACTGTGTAATGGCGGAACTCTGAGGCACGTAGAGGAGGAGGAGAGAGAAGGAGGAAGAACATAAGGAGGAAAGGGAAGTAAACTCGAGAGATTCCATCCAACTCCTTTCTTTTGAGGTTAACCTTTATGATCATTGTTCTAATTGTTCTTGCTTCGTTATTAGAGTGCTGTTATCAATGTTCTCGTTGTTATATTTTCGTTCTCTGGTCGTTGTTTTGAACGCTCGTTAAAATAATTTTCACTCTTGTTGTTAATTGTGTAATTATCTGTTATGTGATAAGGTGAGATGGTGGGTTAGTGTTGAATGGTGGAGTGGTGAGGAATGTGTAATCTGCACTCACGTGTGAAGGTGTTGCACTCTCTGTGCACTCGAGCGCAGCCGTGCACTGAGGAGCGAGGCCTCGACACTCCTGTCTGCCTCTATACCTTGGCAAAATTTGACTTTTTTTTCAAGGAATTACCAAATGCATTCTTTAACGTATTTGTTAAGATGCGACACGTTAAGACACGTTAAGATGCGTGTGTGTGTGTGTATTCACTAGTTGTGTTTGCGGGGGTTGAGCTCTGGCTCTTTGGTCCCGCCTCTCAACCGTCAATCAACTGATGTACAGATTCCTGAGCCTACTGGGCTCTATCATATCTACACTTGAAACTGTGTATGGAGTCAGCCTCCACCACATCACTGCCTAATGCATTCCATTTACTAACTACTCTGACACTGAAAAAGTTCTTTCTAATGTCTCTGTGGCTCATTTGGGTACTCAGTGTGTGTGTGTGTGTGTGTGTGTGTGTGTGTGTGTGTGTGTGTGTGTGTGTGTGTGTGTGTGTGCGTGCGCCTCCTCCCCCGACCTCACCAAGCGCAGTTCCACGGTAAACAACCCAGGCAGATGCAATTAGAAAAGCATTGATCATTTCCACAGTTTTTCGTTGTCGTCTCCGAAATTAGCAGCAGAGTTGCTACTCGGTCAAACTAAGACTAATTATTCCTTTAATTAATTTTCAAAGCTGAAATTGCATACATGAGCAAACATACAAGCTTAGGACGGGTCTTCCCTAACATACCTGTGTGTATAAATGTACCTGTGTGTGTATTAATGTACCTGTGTGTGTATTAATGTACCTGTGTGTGTATTAATGTACCTGTGTGTGTATTAATGTACCTGTGTGTGTATTAATGTACCTGTGTGTGTATTAATGTACCTGTGTGTGTATTAATGTACCTGTGTGTGTATTAATGTACCTGTGTGTGTATTAATGTACCTGTGTGTGTATTAATATACCTGTGTGTGTATTAAAATGTTTTTTTTACTATTAAATTTCTCAATTCAGTCTGAGTTTTTTTTCTTCAGTAAGACATGGTTCCTGACACTGGAACAAGAAACTATGGCTGACATCATTTCTACCCAATCTCAAGATGGTCTGCTTATCTTGAGACGATTTCGGGGCTTAGCGTCCCCGCGGCCCGGTCCTCAACCAGGCCTCCTTTTTGTTACACACACCTCCAGGAAGCAGCCCGTAGCAGCTGTCTAACTCCCAGGTACCTATTTACTGCTAGGTAATAAGGGCATCAGAGGTGAAAGAAATATTTTGCTAATTTGTTTCCGCCTCCACCGGAGATCGAACCCGGAACGTCAGGACTATGAATCCGAAGCGCTGTCCACCCAGCTATGAGGCGCCAGAGATTTGCAACAACACTGAAATAATCGACAGGACAAAAGAAGATCAGACATAGCCGAAGCCCTTCATATCAAGCACGCTAACAGCCTAGTTTCTAACAGCCAACTTATACACTTAATTACCCTACCAGCCACAGGACCTAGACAGAACTATGTGTTTACACCACACGATCTGTCCCAACCGATCAGTGAGAATGCGCGACAATCCCTGGTGGTGTGGTGGTAACACACTCGCTTTGCTAACAACTTGATCTGGGTTCGAATGCTGGCCACGGAGCATTTACTTTTCGCGCCTTTTCACCCAGCAGTAATTGGGTACATGGTTGTCAACAGACTGATAGGTCGTGTTCCAGGGAAGAATTAATAGGGTAAGGCCTAATACAACCTAATACAATATGAGCCTTGGGAAGGGACAGCTCTCAGCCAGCCAATGAGAGACGTCCGTTTACTCCTGTATCCGTCTGTATCCGTCTCTGTATCCGTATCAGTACCCGTCTGTGTATCATCTCGGCTATTACCATACTGATTTTACTGTATTATTTAAAAAATCATTATTTTATTCGTATATAATAATATAGTAAAAACCAATACAACAATACAATATAATAAAATAGTACAGTACTGTAGTATATATTACAGTGAAGTACAGTATTTTATATTTCAATATAGCACACTCAAATATATTTTAATTCAACGTAAATGAAAAGTTAGCGTACAATTACGCTGAAAATTTTAATAAAATTGAGTCACGGTAAAAGAGAATGATATAATTCCGAAAATACATAATACAACGGTATAAAATGCTGTATTTTATTTAAAATTGAATTATGGCAAAAAATACAATTACAGTAAAATGCAAAATAATACAACGAATTCAGAGGTATGAAAATTACAATATAAAGCTATTTGATATGCAACCAAATACAACAGAATACAAGAACCAGGAGATGGAAATCAAACGCATCTATATAATTCCCTTTTGCCATTCTGTAGACATATTGTATTGTAATAGGGAACAGCAATGGTTGACAATGGTTGCAATAGCAATGGTTGACAATGGTTGCAATAGCAATGGTTGACAATGGTTGCAATAGCAATGGTTGACAATGGTTGCAATAGCAATGGTTGACAATGGTTGCAATAGCAATGGTTGACAATGGTTGCAATAGCAATGGTTGACAATGGTTGCAATAGTAATGGTTGTAATGGTTGGCTGTAACGCAGTTATCAGTGGTAGTGTTGAGTTATGAGGACACACACACACACACACACACACACACACACACACACACACACACACACACACACACACACACACACACACACACACACACACACACACACACAGAGTCAAATTTCCTACATTTCAGATATTTTGAAGACTGCAGGGGTGTTTGGGCAAAATATGACCCATCGCTGTTTTCAGTAATTAGCATATTTTCGGTATAAAAGGTCGTAATTTGAAAATGAAAATAGGTGCAGAGAGTCAGAATTCGGCTCAAAAATCACACTGAGGAGCCAAATTTCCGACATTTCATATATTTTTAAAACTGCAGGGGGGTTTGGGCAAAATATGACCCATCTCCATGAGTCATGTACGTCAAGACTCATGGGGCCCCTGTCATGGACGTCAAGACTCATGGGGCCCCTGTCATGAACGTCAAGACTCATGGGCCCCCTGTCATGGACGTCAAGACTCATGGGCCCCCTGTCATGGACGTCAAGACTCATGGGGCCCCTGTCATGGACGTCAAGACTCATGGGCCCCCTGTCATGGACGTCAAGACTCATGGGGCCCCTGTCATGGACGTCAAGACTCATGGGGCCCCTGTCATGGACGTCAAGACTCATGGGGCCCCTGTCATGGACGTCAAGACTCATGGGCCCCCTGTCATGGACGTCAAGGAGATGAAGGAGAGATGATGCTGAAGGGAAGGAGATGAAAAGATGAGTGCCGGATCAGGATCACGTGATCCTGTGGTCCCGGGTTCGATCCCGGGCGCCAGCGAGAATCGATGAGCAGAGTTTCTTTCACCCTATGCCTCTGTTACCTAGCAGTAAATAGGTACCTGGGAGTTAGTCAGCAGTCACGGGCTGCTTCTTGGGGGGGGGGGTTGTGGGGGGGGGTGTGGAAAATAGTAGTAGTAGTAGTAGTAGAAGAAACAGTTGATTGATAGTTGAGAGGCGGGCCGAAAGAGCAGAGCTCAACCCCCGCAAGCACAACTAGGTGAGGACAATTAGGTGAGTACACACACACACACACACACACACACACACACACACACTTGACCACGCTAGCTCAACTAGATGAGCACAAACACACACACATTTGTCACACTTTTCACACCTCTTCTTCCCTCTCACACCCTCACCTCTCACACTCCCCCCCCCCCCAACCACCTCTCACACTCAAGAGCATCGTTCTGCTCCCGTCTTGAGAGAGCCCATTACACTCGTAAAGAAACCATTGTTAGGTAACAAGGCAGTGATCTTAGCTGGAGATGTATTCCTCTCTCAGGTGTTACCCCTCTCTCTCTCTCTCTCTCTCTCTCTCTCTCTCTCTCTCTCTCTCTCTCTCTCTCTCTCTCTCTCTCTCTCTCTCTCTCTCTCTCTCTCTCTTCCCCCCTGAAGCTTGACAACCAATAGGAAACTCTTCACTCGACCTTCGAGCCTTCAAATTGCAAAAATTAACAGCCACAATCATTTTTTTGTTGCAATGTTTTCTGTAATTAGCGGACGATGTAGTTAAATACTGTGGACCTAATTACTTCTCCATTCATGCTATTGCAGTGACAGTAGAAGATGATGTCCTGAATTTGGTAAGACTGGTTGTAATACAAGAGTTGTAGAAATACAGCAGTTGTAGAAATACAGCAGTTGTAGAAATACAGCAGTTGTAGAAATACAGCAGTTGTAGAAATACAGCAGTTGTAGAAATACAGCAGTTGTAGAAATACAGCAGTTGTAGAAATACAGCAGTTGTAGTAATACAGCAATTGTAGTTATTAAGTCAGTTGTATATGGTTGCAGTGGCTGTATGGAATAAGGGAAGAGTTGTGTATTCGAGACTGAGCCTAGGGGTGGAATGTCGACTTGGCTGGGAACTGAGCCTAGGGATGGAATGTCGACTTGGCTAGGACGGTACTATTGAAGGGTCATTCGTCTAACAATCAGCCCAAACTGTAATTATGACGAACAATTACTGCCGCGTCACACCAATTTTTGCCCACACTTTCACTCTATTATAGAAGCTAATTTATTGGCCAAGGCCTCTCCCCCCCTTCCCCTCCCCCACATCCCCCCCCCCCCCTCCTTCCTTCCCCGATTCCATTCTCGTGCTGGGGGGTTACAGTGTCACAGGTTCGAATCTCTTGGAATCCCCACACGACCCCGAGCCCCTCAAACCCCCAAACTACCCCTCCGTCCTCTCCATTCCCTCCCCCCCCCCTCAGAACGAT